AAGGTGGACTATTTCTAAGCAGACTTTAAAAAACTCTGGTAAACGCTGAAGCCAAAATAAGTACACCAAAATCTACCGAACGAACTCTATACTATACAAGTTGTATAGCCCATTAAATTTTAGTATAATAAAGTGCAAGTTTCAAGGGGCTACAACATACCGTTGATTTTTGACATCTTTTAATATTTTTTTCTTTAGTCCTCGCTAGAAGTTGTTATTTCCTTCAAAAATTAAGGTATTCTGTTTTGTTAAGCTCAATGATTTCTATCGTTTCCTATATACATATCGTCGTTTAAAGTACAAAACCGCGTATCAAGATAATGCAAAACTGCGTATGTGAGGTTGCATAAATTATTTTCTAGATAGTAAAAGCACTCATATTTCAAAATGGTTATCTTTTTTTATAAAGCAATTGCATTTCTGGCTAGTATATTTCAGGACGAATGGATAAAGCTTAAGCCAAGAGCTTTTGTGAGCAAATCCAATTGTTGGCAAAAAATGTCAGTTACGCGGTTTTACAGAGCGACGATACGCGGTTTTTGGCTTTTAAACGACATTATGTATGTAAGTATGTATATTTTCTTTTGTCCTCGCCCATTACTAATTTATCAACCCTCCTTCACTCCAAACCTTCATTGGCCGTAAGAACGGCTTTAAATTTTTCCAACACCAGTTTGGCAGTAGGGTCCTGCGCTTTTACATATAAGCCGCTTCTGAATCTTAACCAAAATATTATTACGATTATTCGAAAATTTGCTTTTATTTTTGATGTTAAACTTTTGTGAGAAAGGTAAAATAGGTTATATCACTTAATTAAATCATCTCTGGGCAGAAAAAAAAAAACAATTAAAAAACCCATTAGATAGATACCGGTTTATAACAAAATTAATGGTCTGCCAATTTTATATACTAAAAATGCGCACAAAATACCTACAAAATGTCTAATGCATTGATGTTTATATTTTTGAAATATTTTTCAACATTTTTATAACTATGTATACCCAAGTTCGCTAAAAATCGCGTCGAACGGCAACACTCGATCGGTTTAAGAGCACTTTCAGCAAAAATAAAAAACATACATATATATTTTGAGCATCCTTTTATAGCGAGCTTTTACAGCCAATTTCATAAAAAAAATTAATTAAGTAAAAAATAATTTACATTTTTTTTAATTTTACATGGAAATTGGTAGAAAATTAGAAATCATTTTCCATTTAAATTACTGGTGGAAGGCAAGTAAAATACTCGTATTAATTATATTCTGCAATGCACATCTATAGTTTCTGCAATTATTTTCATCAATATTTGCTACGATTAGTTGCATATTTCAGGATAGCCACGTATATGGTAATTTCTCAAAGTTGTTGTTTGTTTGTTCCAACCCCTTTTCGGAAGAAAATTGTCAGCCTCGGCACGGATGTGCCCAATCGAAGCGAAACGTGGCACCAGCAGCAGTAGAGCGAGTTTATCTGTCTATAAACTATAACAAGGAGCTCTATTAGGAATTTTTTTTACCTCCCTCTTCATGACTACATCATGTTATCACAAATAAGTTTATGCTTCTATGGTTCTTTTTCACCATTCCATTGTTCATATTTCCACTAAAGAGGATCCAAATTAAAGCAGCATCCTAATATCTAAATTTCTTAAATATATTTCATGTAACACTGCAGATAATGTCAATTTTTTTATTTGCAGTAAGGTAGTTCAAGGCATTTTAAATCAGTACACACTTTTAACAGTTCTGCTAATACGATGAAATAAGTAAATTTACGTTCCGTGTTATTTTTTTAATGCATAAAAAATTCCTTAAAAAATATCAAAAATTTCCAAGGGAATAATTTGTTGAGGTGCCAGTGCTACTTGAGCAATTTACGAAAAGTATAAACGTCATAAGCACAGTTAATGTCAACAAATGTCAAAGTAAGCTACCTTCTTTTTTTGTATCATGATATGCGCCTACGAATGGCAAGGTTTTTTGAGAAGCTTTTTCATAACCGACGTACATTCGTTGGTTTGCCATTGTCTGCCGACCGGTCTGGCGACCGCTGTTAGAAAAAACTTTTTCTAATTTTAGAGGTCTATTGGACCAGCGATTGACTCTTGGTCCTACCAGGTGGAAGTACAAAAACTAAAAAAAACGTGAAATTCACCGTCCTAAAATAAAACTCATTTTAAAATCTTACTCATTTGAACACTGGAATTATTCTGACGTACTCTCCGCTGAGTATGTAAAATGAACTTTTTTATGCCAAATTCTAATATCTCGAGAATGAAATAGATACCAAGATAAATGTGACGGTATTTTTGAAGCTTTTGAGTTGGAAAAAATAGTCTCGTAGATAAAAAAATTACATTCAAAAATAGGTTGCATTTTTTATTCTTTTACCCGAAAAAAGTTTGCAATGAACATTTATAAAAGTTTTAAACACATATTTTCTTTTCCAGGTCGGTCAGGATATTTTTCATTCAATCAGAACTTTAATCGATGTGCGCCACCTCTAAACTAACCACATTCATTGGAAAATATGTATATGTTTGTTTCCACAACACACTCTTATTTTTTTACGTACTCATCTTAATGCAAATTTTAGTATCAAAATCAAAAACAAATTTCACAAACTCTGTTTCTCTGCGGGATTCTTCCAATAATAATACTCAATTGTTTATTTCGCCATTTTTTATTGTAACTATTTTTATAGGTCCCAAAAATGCAATGGAGAGACTCATAAAAAATTGTTAGTATTTAAAAATGGTAAAATAAACAATTCGGTATTAATATTGGAAGTTTCCTGAAGAGAAACAGTGTATTCCGATCGAAAAATATTGATTTTAAAGAATACTATACTATTTCAACGAAAAACTGTTTTTTCCCCATATCAAATACATGGAAAACTTTGAGCTCTTTGAGCGACCTCTAAATATTTTTTGATTTCAAAATAAAAAACAAGACTATATTTTTTCGATATACATCCTAGCGGGTGAGAGCATTATAATGCGGACTTTCCTTTTTTCACATGCATTTTTGGACCACACTAATGCACGCACTTATGTATGTTGTTTGGATGAGGTCAAGTGTCTCGCGCGAGCTATCTATGTACATATACTCAATGAACGTACGTTTTCCTTAAGGACGCTCACGTTTGTGCATAAGTATGTACATTAGACTGCATCACTCCCCATACAAAAAAAAAATCGGTACTAATTTTCCATTGGAATTATAAAATCTATTATATTTTAAGACGTCCACCAAAATATTTCGAAAAAATATTAAGATTTAGGTGAGCTGGACTGATTTGAAAATACCTCCAAAAATCTAGTTTTTTATGAATAAAAATAGTTTCTTAAAGATTTTTTTTTGAAAAAATCCCCTCAAATGATAAAACGGTTTAAGCTTAAGATATGTGCATAAAAATATTTAAAAAAAATTAAAAAAAAATTTTGAACGGAATCGTAATGATGAAATTTTTGATGCTGTTTTTTAACTTTTTTCAAAGATTGGTATAGGAAAAACTGAACCTAAGCTCTTCCGATTTAGACTTAAGATGTGTCATTGGAAAGGTATTTTCTCACCCTTTTTATTTCTTTGCTAATAAACTCATTCAAAGGATGGAAGAGAAAGGTAGGATGAACGAACGTCATTCAAAGTTGAATTAAGATGTGTTGGTATTCGAAAAAACAAGATGGGACACGAATGACGTTTTTTTGGCCAGAAATAAAAACAGTGGGAAAATAACTTTCTACTGAGATCCCATAAGTCTAAATCAGAACATTTTTGGCCCAGTTATTCAAGTTTTTCGTAAACCAATCTTTGAAAAAAGTAAAAAAAAAACAGCATCAAAAATCTCATTCTTACGATTACGTTGAAAAGATTTTTAAATATTTTTACGCAGATTTTTTAAGCTTAATCTAATTTGTGATCTGAGGGGACTTTTTTCAAAAAGTTATTTAAGAAACTATTTTTATTCATAAAAAACTTAATTTTTGGAGGTATTTTCAAATCGGTCCAGCTCGCCTAAATCTTAATATTTTTTCGAAATATTTTGGTGGACGTCTTAAAATATAATAAATTTTGTAATCCCGGTGGAAAAACCGCAACTTTTTTTGGTGATGCAGTCTAATGTACATACATACATATGTACGCGTATATGTATTAAGGTGTGCTAATATTTACCTTGCGCCCGTGTATTTTTTCTGTTAGAAGACTTCAGCATGACCGGCTGAATGAGTGACCGTTAGACGAATATGTTATGTCTCTAAAGCTCCAAAGTGATATAAAGTCGTGTCGCTTTAATTCCTTTAACAGTTGTTATGTATGCAAAGAAAATTTAAATAATTTTGATGAATGTTCTTTCTTTTGCGCCTTGTTCTGCGTACACTTTTTGCATTGTTGCTTTTTATTGTTTGCATATACATACGTGCATACTTATTTTAGTAATTTTTATGTGCGTGATTTGTCTTTGTCTCCTTTTTTAACGACTCGTGCCTACGGTTCAACGTTTTCTTATTGGGTTGGCCAGTGACTCATTGTTAGGTATTGGATTATTACATATGTGAGTTATCAGATTTGTTAAGGCTAATTGAAGGAGGAGCTTCCTGAGCACAAGCTAAAACTAATATAGAAAATGCAATACCATATTACCGTTTATATTATGTGCGAGTACTTTTTGTGCGTCGTTTGGATCATACGTTCACTATGAACTTTCAGTCATTGCACCGTGAATTCTTTTATCAAATTGTGACATATCTGGCTAGCATCAGCAAATTGCCAAATCAAGGGTTGGTCGCTTCAAGCGATTTCTTGATGGTACATAATGCACAGTTAGATTTAATATTTTCAGTTTAAAACACGTTCAGCCGTTCGTCGTGGCGCTTGGTTAGATAGAGCCTTAAGTATTTTTTTATTACATGTTCACTATGTATTAATTTAATAGCTTTGAAAATACCACCAATTCTGAACTACATTACTAACAAGTATTTCTTTCCGTCTTTCTTTCCAGCATGAGTCGTCCAACCCAGCAACGCACAATGCAGCAGCCAAAGCCGCCGAAGCAGCACCTCACAGAGCAGGAGGCCATCGCCGCCTCCGAGCTCTTCGATCTCTTCTGCGTCGCAACGACAATGCGCCAGATTCTAGGTTTGCATCGCGACATGTGCGATATACTCGGATTGCGGCCAGCTCCGATCAACGAATTCTATCCCATGTTAAAAGCGAAGATTCGTTCGTGGAAAGCGCAGGCGCTGTGGAAAAAATTCGATGCGCGAGCGGCTCACCGCGTGTACGCGAAGGGAACAGCGTGTAATGGCACGCATGTGCTAGTCATAGGCGCAGGCCCGTGCGGTATGCGCACGGCCATTGAAGCGCAACTATTGGGTGCCAAAGTCGTTGTGCTGGAGAAGCGCGATCGCATCACGCGTAACAACGTGCTGCACCTGTGGCCGTTCGTGATCACCGATCTACGGAATTTAGGTGCGAAAAAGTTTTACGGAAAATTTTGTGCTGGTTCTATAGATCACATATCCATAAGACAGCTGCAAATAATTTTAATGAAGGTGGCGCTGCTACTCGGCGTAGAGATACACGAGAATGTGTCCTTTGAGAGGACAATAGAGCCGAGTGGGGACGGATTCGGTTGGCGGGCAGCTGTAACGCCAGCGGATCATGTGGTTTCGTACTATGAATTCGATGTTTTAATTGGAGCCGATGGTAAGCGCAACACACTGGAAGGCTTTAAACGAAAGGAATTTCGTGGAAAGCTTGCTATTGCGATCACGGCCAATTTTATAAATAAGAAAACTGAGGCGGAGGCTAAAGCGGAAGAGATCAGCGGAGTGGCTTTTATATTTAATCAGTCGTTCTTCAAGGAGCTCTACGAGAAGACTGGCATAGATTTAGAGAACATCGTTTACTATAAAGATGAGACACACTACTTTGTTATGACTGCAAAGAAGCATAGTCTCATCGACAAAGGTGTGATTTTACAGGTAAGCCGTATTTGACACTCTGTGAACTAAGAATTAAAAAATCATATAATATTTGCCCTTAGGATTTCTCCGACCCTGCGGAATTACTTGCGCCAGCCAATGTTAGCGCCGACAAGCTGCTCGATTATGCCCGCGAGGCGGCCGAATTCTCCACAAAGTACCAAATGCCAAATCTTGAGTTCGCTGTAAATCATTATGGTAAACCGGATGTAGCCATGTTTGATTTCACATCTATGTTCGCCGCTGAGGCATCATGCCGTGTAATTGTGCGTAATGGTTATCGATTGTTCCAATGTCTGGTGGGTGATAGCCTGTTGGAGCCTTTCTGGCCCACGGGATCCGGCTGTGCGCGTGGTTTTCTTTCAAGCATGGATGCTGCATATGCAACCAAACTGTGGTCGAATACACGCAATAGTATCCTGGGCGTTGTAGCGCAACGGGAAAGTATATACAGGTAAGGCGCAGTACGAGTAGTAGCAGACAATCGACTTCCAAAAATCAATTTAATAAAAAAAAAATTCCAGACTGCTCAATCAGACCACACCCGAAAATTTGCAGCGTGACACGGGCTCTTACACTGTTGATCCTGCCTCAAGATATACGAACCTTAATCGCACAGCTGTTAACCCCTTCCAGGTGAAAACTCTCGTAGACTCAGATGATCCGCAAGTACTCGAGCAGCCAATTGCGGAAATTGTCACAACACCAGCGATAGCCGAGGCGCCAGCAATGCTGCGCAAGCCACGTCGTAGTGCAGGTATGTCTTGGAAAAAACTGCGCATATGGAAGTCATAAAGAAGTCGTGACTGTAACGAATGAATTAATGAAACCTTAAGTCTTAAAATCTCGTATTTACACATTTTGCCGAAAATAGGTTTGTTCCACAAGCTACTTGTAGAAAAACTCGAGCAAAGTTCAAACTGTCAGCGTATATCAAATAAACTCAAAAACTTACTGGTGGAACGCGTATGTGTAACTCGAAGTGACTTCGAGTAGCTTGTGGAACAAACCTAATATTGGTATCAAACATATTTACATTTGAAGCGAAGGTTATTTTTAACCCTTAATACATATAAAATTTGAGAATGCCAATGTTTTTCTAAACGTCAGTAAATACTTATGTATTTTACTTAAAATTAACTCTGTGCTGTTGGAATGAGTCGGCTTTATAACGCTTCAAAGACTGCCCATCCAAATACATTTAAAACTATTTTATGCTAACAAATATGTAAATAGAGTATATTTTTTAAGTATTTGAAAATTAGCATTACTTTATATGCGCTTTTAACTAATTTTTTTACTTTTATAAAAAAATACATAAACCTACGAACTCTTTACATAATTCATTCGTTTCAATCAGGGATATTCCTCGTAATTGCAATTCCAAAAATAATCAAATTAATCCCTTTCAAGATATCGTACCTGAAGCATTACTGCATTGGGTCTGTGCTCAGCTCCACATGTACGATTTTGTTAAGGAGATAAAGGAGCCTGCCGATATAATTAAAAATGGAAAATCACTCAGCGCCTTAATTAGCCGGTGGGAAGCACTTTGAATTGTTATTTCAACTCGAATGATTTATTGATATATTTGCGATTTCCTTTCTAGTTTTCGGCCAGATTTGATTGACTACACAGCAACACGCGACTTAACGTCCGCTGAACGTAACGAATTAGCGTTCCGAATACTGGAGGCCGAATATCAATTACCTCGCATTATGAATGGCGAGAAATCGGTAGAACTAGAAAAAGTGGATACACGGCTGTGGTTACACTATTTAAATCAAGTGCGCGAGGTCTTCCGCGGTGAGGTGCCGCATTTGAAACATCCAAAGATGGATATCACCGAGCTACGAGAAAAGTATCGACTCAATAATGCCCACGCGCAGCCTGATTTTTCAAAATTGTTACAACTCTCAACGAAGCCAAAATATCCGAAAGCCAAAAGCCCTATCGAGGATATGGTCGATGTGCCGCAAGTGGTACAGCGTCGTTCGGTTTTGGACGAAGAACGCGTGAAGCGTATGCGTAGGCATGAGCCAGCCAATGTCAGTCCGGCCGCTGCAGGCATTTTACCGCAACAAGGTATGAAGAAACGAAAGAAATATTCTGTTTTAAGCTAAAATCTAGTGCAAGCTGACTTTTAACCTAAAAGTTTAAACTCGCTTTTATTTGGTTTAGTTGGTTACCGAAGCTTAACTTACGCTAGAAGTGTGGCTCTAAGGGATCTTCTCTTCTATATTCGCTTAAATCCAAATGCACAGTTTTCATTACGTTTATTTTTATTACAGGGCAAACTGATACACCACGTCGAGCCAAAAAGAGAAGAAACGCAGAGAAGGCAGCGAATATTGTGAGTACCACAATTGGCGTAATTAAGGAAGCTATTTTAAATTACATTTTCAGACATTGAAAAGTGATCTAAATAATTCGACAATATAAATTGTCAGTAATAGCGTATTTTATTTGAATTGAGTGGAAAATATTTTGAATTGTTACATTTTACAAAAGTTTTAAAAGTTCGCAATTTTTAAATGGTTTTAATTAATTCCCTTGGGTAATTAAAAAAAATTGGAATACATTTTTTGCAAAAAGACCGACTTCCTGTAACATTTGAATTAAAAAAAAAAGTTTGTCTCTGCTAAAAATGAAGTCCTAAGTACCATTTTCTTGTACAAGACATGATCACTTTTCAAACTTCATGTCGGATACTTGCATAAATGCATACATTCACATCCATATATACCAAGAAAATAAAAATTGTTTGCTGTAATTGTTTGTTACATTCAATTTCTAAACTCTCTTGATCTCATATTATTTAATTGTAAATTATCTCATTTAAAAACAATACAAACAAAATCTGGCGTATTATTACTTTCATAAGGTCCATATAATGCTAGACCATCTTCATCAGAGTACATGCATCATCATTAATGAGTTTTCAGACCAACTATCTGAGGTATTCGCTATATGTTACCGATGTGGTCTCCTGTTCCTGCATTTTCGTACATCCCGGCGTTCTACTAACCCTACAATAACTTACTCATATGTAATGCTTGTCACTGCCCTCTCGTTCATCTCTTTTTTTACATTATACAAATATTGCTTTTAAAGCATTCATCCATGTACTAAGCACGAGTTTACTTAACTACCCTTGTGTGGTTTCAAATTAAGAGACCCCCATTGTGTTTAATCAGCATACACCCTATTGACCCTTTGCCAATTGCTGTTGTTACCTACGAATTGTTAGGAGGAACGCCAGAAGCGACTAGAAGAAATTGAACAAAATCGCCAGGAGCGACAGAGCAAGCGTCGCCAACAACGTTATCAGCAAACGCAGAACTTTTACAAAAGCTTGCAGATGCTACAAGCCAACACGTTGTTGCGCGAGACTGATGATCCGCAGGCTTTTGAGGACTACTCACTATTCATATATCGTCAACATGCGCCGGAATTCAACGATCGCGTAAAGGAGTTGGAGCGCAAATTGCTGTATCCTGTAAGAAAGTCGGAAATTGACGTTTTTTGTTTGACTGTTGCCTGCCTGCCAAGATTTGATCACTTGTTAAACGTGATGCTATATACATATTTTGTATGCGCCTATCTAACCTACTTACATTCAAAATGCTGCAGACGAATTTGCAATAATCGGTCGTGTTGACTGTTGATAACTAATAATAAACGAAATAAATCTGAATGCGCTGCTGTTTGTTATCTAATTTTTATTTGAAGAATGACAATAAACAAGGCCGATTTCATTAACCCGATGCTCAGTTGTTCAATAGTTGCACATATACATATCTATATATTTCGGAGTAAATTAGTACATACTGCATTTGTTTGATATGTTTAAGGCCCGTGGTTTAAACTAAGTTTAAACGCCCGATCTGGCTGGTTTAAACTAAGATTAGCCAATCAAATGTCAGCCAGTTGTTCAATTTAAACTCAGTTTACTTAATCTAAGTAAAAACTGGACCTAAGAGTAGCATTTCGATTTTGGGAATTTATTTGTTATCTAGTTGGCTTAGCCATAATTTTGATTTACCTTAAATTGATTCATTTCGCAAAAATATCTAAACGTACCTTTTCATAATGAAAGGAGAGTAGGAGTTCTCATTTGCTGCGTATAATTAAAAAAGTATCATCCTGTTTTATATACCTACATATGCATGTATGTATGTACATCTGTAGGTACATATTGCACGTGTCTTAATTCAAAATCTTCCATCAATCAGAAACCACAAACAATTTTTATATGTACGTATTCATCAACAAAAGTAAAAAAAGTTTCGCTCATAATAAATCCAGTTCTAAACGTAGTGAAGATGGTACATCTGTCTACGAGTAGAGTATTAAAGTATATTTTGTCCCGGCTCGAAAGTCTCTATGTAATGGCCTTATTCTGCATATCACCTGGGAAATTTTCCTTAGGTGAGATTTTTGGGATAGTTTCAACACAGGCCATGGCGCAGGAGAACTGTAGTAAGAGACACTATATTGGCGCCAGATACATCTTCTTTACTAAGATCTGCTTTAATTGGACATGATAACTATCTGGCACAGCAAATTCTAATTAAATGATTGATTATGGCTCTGCGCACCTATATTATATCTGGCATGCAAAATCACGACTTGTATGCCAGATGTTGGTTTTAGGAAAAATAACTAATAAGTGTTCTTTAGGAGCACCAAGAGATTTCCAATTTCAAAGATAAATAGCTTAGCGTTAGCTCCCAAAATAAAATGAGGAAGCAAGATAATTTCTTCCGTGTTTGAAAAGATTATTTAAACAATTGTTATAATTCAGGGGCTAGAGAGTATCCCTTGAAGAAGTTCATCGGCAATGTTTCTTAAGGGAAAGTTCAAGTGAGTTATACCAGAGAAGAGTTACATAGAATTGCTGTATTGTGGCTGGATAGAAATGACTTACCTTTCTGCCTATTGCCGCGCTAGCCTGATACGGGAACTGAACACCACCTGTTTGAAAGTAATGAATTTAAGAGTCTAATTCTTCAACTTTGTAGACTTTTCTAGCTGTCTAGTAAACATTCTAGATCGTACGTCGTGCCTGTTAACTTCTTTGAAAAAATACCTCATTAAGCAAGCTTTGTAGGTAAAAACTTAAATAAATGTCTAGATATTCGTAATATTACCAACTTCTCTTTCTTTTAGTTATTTACACTATTCATAAATTTGTAAGTGCAGTGACTGTATTATGTATCTAGCATTTTCAGTTTAAATGAAACCATTTGTAAATTAAGTGAAATCTTTTTCAGCTTAAGCGAAACCGTTTTCAATTAGATGAAACCTTTTTCTAATTAAATGAAACCCTTTTCAGATTCAGTGGAACTTTATTCAAATTAAATGAAACTTTTTTCAAATTAAATGAAACATTCTTGGAAGGAAGTTTCTTTTAATTTGAATATAGTTTCATTGAATCTGAGAAAGGTTTCATTTAATTTGACAATCGTTTCGCTTGACCTGAAAAAGGTTTCATTTAATTTGAAAAATATTTCGCTTTGTTTGAAAATGGTTTCATTTAACTTGAAAAAAGTTTCATTTAAACTGAAAATGCTATATTTTGTTTTCGCTACCCGATAGCTGTATTAAGGCTTGCAGAATCAGACGCGGTACGGTATAATTTTGTACGATATGCGTTGACTAATACCATAAGTGTAAAAAGGAGTACTCGAAATTGCATTTTGAAAGTGCGGCGCAGTGCGGCCGAACTCCAAAAGTGTGGCCAAAATTATATGTAGATAGGCCTTTGTTGACATTGAGTTGACTAAAGGGATCACCTAAAAAGCCCTAGGTACCCTAAGTCCTCTCTTTTAATTCATTTCTAATATGACCGAGAAGGTCACAGCACAACATTATTGTAATAATGCGAAAAGTTATTAACGTATAAAAGTAATTAGAGAATAGGAAACCAAACAAAACCAAATAGATACTACGTCTGAAGGTTAGTAAAATACGTTACAAATTTTTTTTTCGTGTACGCTTATTTAACACGCTGTTGGATGCTGCCCTTTAACCTATTGGAGTTTACGTAGAAAAGTACTAGCTATAGAATAAAATAAAACTCATTTGCACATTTTTGTTCCTTATATTTTTTTACCACGCTTATACATATTAGCTTCACCTCCACGTAAAAATGTCGAGCTTGTTAATTAGATTTCACGGAAAGATTTTGAGCATGCAGTTGTGTGGCCCATTTAATTAAGTGCAAGTTTAAAGAAACTGGGATTTTCGGTTGATTTTTGGAATTTTGTTTTCTGATGAAGGTGTTGCTCATTTTCTTCCTATTATCGAACATACTTCGTATAGAAGAAAATAACTTGCACTGCCAACAAAAAAAAATCTCAAAAATCAACGGTAAGTCCTAGCTAATTCAAACTTCCACTTTGTGATAGAATTGACTGGGCTATAAAACTGCATACTCAAAATATTTCTAAGAATTCTAATTAAAAAGTGCGAAATTTACTAGACGCGGATCTATTTCGAATTTTACAATTCTGACAGCAGATTCGTAATTAGTGACCTCGAAAACCCCTCAGTACGAAGTCTAGAATAATTTCTTTAAACCTTAGAATTTCGGCCGCTCTTTTGAATTTCGGCCGCACTGTGGCGCGGAACATTAAATACATTCGACGAGAATGTACCGTGCGGTACCGTACCGCAGCTCATCGAGCAGTGCTTTAACCCTCTGCGACTGACGTGGTAGTCAGACAGACACCGAAGGTTCCACATTTTTCTCTAGCTTCAATAACATTATTTTTAAAAGCTTTTATTTAACTTGCTATGTATGTATGTATGTATATTAGACTGCATCACTCCCCATACAAAAAAAATCGGTACTATTTTTCCATTGGAATTATAAAATCTATTATATTTTAAGACGTCCACCAAAATATTTCGAAAAAATATTAAGATTTAAGTGAGCTGGACCAATTTCAAAATACCGCCAAAAATGGTGTTTTTTATGAATAAAAAAAGTTCCTTAATTTTTTTTTTTTAATCCATTCAAATGACAAAACGGTTTAAGCTTAAAAAATTTGCATACAAATATTTAATATAAATTAAATAAAAATTTGAACGGAATAGTAATGAGATTTTTGATGCTGTTTTTTAACTTTTTTCAAAGATTGGTATAGGAAAAACTTGAATAACTGAGCCTAAACTCTTCTGACTTAGACTTAAGAGGTGTCGGTGGAAAGGTATTTTCTCACCCTTTTTTATTTCTTTGCTAATAAATTCATTCAAATGATGAAAGAGAAAGGTAGGATGAACGAACGTCATTCAAAGTTGAATTAAGATGTGTTGGTATTTGAAAAAAAAAAAATTGGGACACAAATGATTTTTTTTAACAGAAATAAAAACAGTGTGAAAATACCTTTCTACTGAGATCCCATAAGTCTAAATCAGAATAGTTTTGGCCCAGTTATTCAAGTTTTTCGTAAATCAATCTTTGAAAAAAGTAAAAAAAAAAACAGCATCAAAAATCTCATTCTTACGATTCCGTTGAAAAGATTTTTAAATATTTGTATGCAGATTTTTTAAGCTTAATCTGTTTTGTTATCTGAGGGGACTTTTTTCAAAAAGTTCTTTACGAAACTATTTTTATTCATAAAAAACTCCAGTTTTGGAGGTATTTTCAAATCGGTCCAGCTCACTTAAATCTTAATATTTTTCCCAAATATTTTGGTGAACGTCTTAAAATATAATAGATTTTGTAATCCCGGCGGAAAAAACCGCAACTTTTTTTGGTGATGAAGTCTAATGTATATACATATATTTGTTAGGGGCAAATCATTCAATCAATTATTTACTAACTTCCCGATGACCTAGACTTGAAACTTCATAGTCGGGTCAGAACCCGATGACAATGCAGTATGAAAGATGAGTTATTCCGATAGGTGGCGCAAGAATGGAGATATTTAAAAACCCCTTTTATCTTCAGTCCGATTTGGTTAATATTTAGAATGTAATTAACTGCATGAAAAGGAATAACTCCACTAAAGATTTTGCCGATAGGTGGCGCACGAGTCGATGTATTTGGCAAACAAGTACACATATATGGTCCGATTTCGTTCATATTTAGAAAGCTTGCTTTAGAAATATTTCGCTAGCTTAGAGTGCAAAGTTGCTAAGTCCCTATTTGAAAATTGTACAGGAGAGGAACAAACTTCTTATAGCTATTTTCTTCAAGTATTTCGCAAAACTTTGAATACAACATTTTGCCTGCTTAAAGCAAAGACAAACTCCATACGAATCAAAGGGATTTGATCTTTATTTCGTACTATTTTTGCCTTATAGAATTTTCGGAGCTTTTTTTGGACTTAGCAAATTTTCCTTTCATTCAATATAAACGAGAAAACATGAACAAGGACCTTTACACTTTTCGAAACGATGCATTTTTAGTTTCTCTAGCCTCCTGTATCAAAATATGAGTTTTCATAAAAAGTGGACTTAGCAACTTTTCACTCTAAGCTAGGGATTTGTTTTTACTATTAACTCATTCGACATAAAGTTTATTTATATGACTATTTCATTAATGAGTACTTAAAATATTCATAGAATTTCCCGTTTAAATCGAAAACAACCAGTTTATTAATAAATATCTAATATATATATTTTGATGTGGAAAATTGGTGTCTGAGAGACTACACGCCAGTATAATAGGGAAACTTCGGGCACGTCAGTAGCAGAGGGTTAATTACCTTCATAGCAATATGTATGTACGTATTACTCTGAGTGGAATTGTTAACTTTATTCTGTCTATCTTTTCATTTATTTTTAGCTTGCAAAGTAAGCAATTTGTAACTGTTATTGTGTCTAATTACAAAATTAATTTGCCACTGTGGCTTGTTTATATTATTAATAAAATTTAATTATAAACGGTTTGCTCTACTATGTTTGTGCTTATAATGTTTTCGTTAAGTATATAGTTTAGTGTAACTCTTATTTTATATTATTCATTTTTTTTATTAAAACTCGTGATTTTTTTCTTTCTCTCCATTCACAAAACACCTTCGCCGTCCTGTTCCAATTTTTTCTTTGTCAAAATTTTACTTCCTTTACATTTTCCCCTTTCCTACCATTCCACACTCATACCCCGAATGGCGCAAAAATCAAATCGACCAACTAAAATCAAATTTCGCTCGTGTGCCCATTGTGCAGGACCGCAATCGGGGCGATATACCTTCAGCTATGCCGCGAAACAACCCCGATGAACAGTTTAGTGATCGCATCAAATCCATGGAGCAGCAAATTAGCTCGAAAAATGCTGGCGGCACCGATAAGAAACCCAAAGACTTAATGCGTGCCATCGGCAAAATCGACAGCAGTGATTGGAATGTACGCGAAATCGAAAAGAAAATCGAACAATCGAAACGAACGGAAGTACATGGCCCCAAGGGACGCGAGAAAGTGCCGAAATGGAGTAAGGAACAATTCTTGGCCAGACAAAATAAAATGGCAAAACCGACACGCCAAGAATCAGTGGAAGAGAAGTTCAAAGAGATCGATCAGACGTTAAAGAATTTGGACAAGCAATTGAAGGAGGGTTCGATACTCGAAGTTGGCGAACGTGGTCGGAATAAAGTCGCGTCCATCGCTGGGCAATTCGTGAAGAAAGATTATAAATCAAGTGAGGAAAAGAATACTCCCTCCACCGCCAGCAATGTAGTGCCGAAATCAGTGAGTAATGTGCTAGTTGGGTCGACTTTACAGATATTTAGCAAATGTGGAATTTAATACAACACGCAAGATCTCGTGATTCAAAATAGCAAATGATTTTAATTCTCCTTTATTTTGCCTATGATTGTCCGTTTAGTCGACTCTCTTGCTTCAAATTGGTTTTTATGTTGCATTGGGCTCTGTTAATTGCTTATTCGGTTTTTGCCTTATAATTTTTTCATGCGTTTAACTGGTAATTAAGTTTATTTAAACTTTTCCGTTTTGGTTTTGCAAATTTTTATTAAAAAAAACTACAACTAGGTACTTTTATTTATCTTCGAGGCAATGGAAAGCCACCTGCTATAGCTTGTTTTGGAGTAATTCCTATACATACATATGTATGAACATATTTTTTTATTCGTACATAAACTAGTTGCTTTTTGTACATTAAAATGTCGCTACTGGTTTAAAGGATCTCTGAAACAGCGACTTATGCTCGCAGTGTTCCATTCATCTACTGTACATAAAATCATGTCAGCACTCATATCCTAACATAACATTAAGCTTTATCACTTTCATTATGAAAACTTTACTTATATTTATTATGTATGTACTAACCTAATTTTGAAAAATAGTATTTTACTTCTTTTGCTTTATAACTAATAACGTTTTCAATTTTATCGAATTCAGAGCGCTAAGGTTGCCTTGGCATTCAAGAAGCAAGCAGCTTCCGAGAAGTGCCATTTCTGCAAACAAATCGTATATTTAATGGAAAAGATCGCCGCTGAGGATCTCGTTTTTCATCGTTCGTGTCTAAAGTGTCACCATTGTCAAACGAATTTGCGCCTGGGTGGCTATGCATTTGATCGTGATGATCCGAATGGACGTTTCTATTGCACGCAACATTTTAGGCTACCTGCAAAGGCTATACGGCCTGTAATGCGGAAACCAGGCCAACGGGTAATGGTGCAAATTGTATTCATGTACAAATTATAGAACCACATCTTATGGTCATTATCATCAAATTTCAGAAGCCAACTCAACAGCAACAAGCTGCCGCAGCAGCAGCCGCGGCTGCAGACATTACTGTTCCGGCGGGTTCTGCCGGTGACGGCACCTCCCCTGCAGATTTGCTCAAAACACCTGACAAACTTCGTGGACCTGCCGACAGTGTTGTGCAGCTCGATTTGTTGGATCGTGGTCAGACGCCCGAGCGTATTGAATTTGAAAATACCGACGCAATGTCCGATGGCGAACCTTCAGAGGAGCATATACTCGACGAACATGAATGGTCAGGCAGAAACTTCTTGCCGGAGTCGAATCAGGACTCTGAATCAGATCTATCCAGTTCCGATGACTCAGACGATGAATCCGATGCTGATATGTTCGAAGAGGCAAATGACTCACCGTTGGGTGCACAAACTCTACAGTTGGCCACTGACTGGATTGGCAAGCAACATTACTCCGATAGTGATGAGTCAGATGACTTTTATGATTCCAGTGAAGGCATTGCGGGTGAGTACTGGGGCAATATAACTTTTGGCAAGCTATACCTAAAATCAGAATAATGTCTACATATATTTTTGGGCAGTTAGAAATCGAAAAAAATAAACAAATAAAATAACTTTGATATACCACCTTTTTATTAATGGACTAAAAAGTAGAAAATAATTTTGCCTAGAATTAGTCTTGATAAGTTTAGAATTCCTAAGATATGAAGTCTCCCATTACTACATATATAACGCACACTAAAGTTTGATATCGTCTACTGAGATCTAATGTTATGCTGTGGACTATCAATTTCGCTTTTAATTGATCGGGTGACAGGTAATATGGTCAATGGAAATAAGGTCAATTGACCTTATTTCCCACCCTGGTGCGAAATAAAGTCAATTGACATTATTACCTTTTCAAAAACGAAATAAAGTCAACAAAAATTTGGAAATAAAGTCATTGACGCTATTTCCTCATTCAAAAGGAAATAGCGTCAACAATGCTTAAAGTATGTCGATTCATAGAAAAAAATGTTGTTCTTACAATAAACATTGCCGCGTAAGTGTTGTTTTTTAATAGATGAAAAAGGTTATTGCCAAATCCTCAGTGTTGTGATATTAATCCACGCACAATCATGAACTACCACCATTTCATTTTATTAAAAAACTTTAAATTACGAATATGTAAAAACACGATGCGAAAAACTAAACGCCAGCGCACAGCTGGAATACGAGAAATATTTGAAGAAAGGGTGTAGAAATGACCCATAACTTGCAAATTATGTTTCGTTTCCACAAAAATAAAGCGAACACTATTAAATTGAAGAAACAGTCCATGTCCAAAACCCCGGAGGAACACTAAAAGAATTCTGTGTTTTAAATTAGCATATTTTGAACGAATTCGGAATGTCTTAGGGGGAAAAGAAACCAACTTTTCTATAAGGAAACAATTATAGAAAAAGAATTTTCTTACACTGTATTCATGTCTCCGCCAGCAATTTGTGACGACATAATTTAAAACCAGCTAAGGAGAATGACGACACTATTTATTAGATGGCACATTCAACGAGCCAATGTGCCAAAATGCGGGTATAAACAATTATTGATTATTTAATATCGGAACCGAGATCATATAAGTTAATTGATTGGTTTTCACACACTTTTCAAACACAAATGACATGCTTTTTTACTGCAGACAAGTTGTTGCCCCAAAACACAGCAGAAATCTTCCAATCAGGGCTGCCAACTATCCTTAGTTATGAGGTGCCATATTGATGATAAAAAAGTGCCAAAATGTGCCAAATAGAAAAATAAAAGTGCCAAAAAAGGTGTCATTCCTTTTAATCATTCACATTTAGCAATAAAATAAAGCTACATTTTCCAAACAAAAGTGCAATGATAAAATAACATAAACCAGTTGAATAGCCTTTATAAATTAGAAAATTTTAGTTGAGAAAAAGAAGTGCACGCAAAAGTTTTCACAAAAATGCATTGAAATGTAATTTTTTTTACAAAAGTGCCATTTTTAGCACTTTGTGCCAAATTGAAAAATTTTTTTACCAGGGACGTGAACCGGATGAAAAATTTTGTCGGTTCGGTTCAGCGGTTCGAAAAACAAACAAGTAACAAAGTCTAAGTTCGGGCGGAGCCGAACATTAAATACCCGGCGCTGGTATTAAATTTATGATTTTCACCTTTCCGAAAGCCACCGCAACATGGTAAGCCGGGTGTATCAATTTTGAGTATTTTAGCATCCTTAAATTTCGAAATATTGAAGTTTCAAGCATTTCTGAAATTTACCGTTATATGAAAAGCGGCCTCAATTTTATTCTGATTTCAATAATTTTCAATGTTTTGCTTTTATGTGGCAAGCACAATAACCATACCGAGTTTGGTACAAATTGGTAGACCGGTTACAGAGATACATATATGTGATCACAAGCGGGTGGTGCCACGCCCGTTTTCCAAAAGTTTATCATAAACCAAGTAATAGGTAAAGGATTGTCGCAAGCATCAATTTTGAATAAACCGTTATATGGGAGATAGGCGTGGTTATTGTCCGATTTTGCCCATTTTCAAAACCATCCGCCCTACGCCCGAAAGAAGTGCACGTACAAAGTTTCGTTAAGATATCTCAATTTTTACTCGAGTTATAATTCTGATCACTTATGTATACATTTGTCTATATGTATCTCGATTCGTTTTACCTGTTACAAACAACCGTTATGTGACCAAAGTTATAATACCCTTGTGCACAAGTGAGCTCGGGTATAAAAAATAACGCGCAAGTTTAAGTGTCAAGTGCAACAACGCGCAAGGTTAAGGGTAAAGTGTCTGTCAAATGAGATGGGTTGTCTTTACATTTGATATTGTCTCATGGTAAACAAACATAGTAGGTATTAACATGTTTAACAAAAACAAAAAAGTGGGTACATTTATCTATTAAAACTTGGTTAAAACGAACCTTTAAACCTTTATGGAAAGTGGTTCGGTTTTCGGTTCGGATAAACATTTGTGGAAAATTTCGGTTCGGTTAATGGTTCAGTTAATTAATAGAAAAAAGCGGTTTTCCGGTTCAAAACCGGTTCGGTTCAAAACCGGTTCACGTCCCTGCTTTTTACTTCACATAACCCCAAAGAAAAAAATTAAGAGGTTTATATCACACAATACTTTGCTGAAATGTTACCGACATCACGGGCTTCAATCTCAGGCATCAAAAAAGCCTTTATGAAGGTGCGGCATTTGCTCGGCGTTGACGATTTTGTCCTGTCTGTGGCTATTCTATAACTCACTTAGAGAAATGCATGCATGACCCCAAATCAGAAAGTGTTGGGAAATGTGTGGACCTTGGTGAGGTCGGAGTGGTCAGTGTCGTGCGGGGTATATGTTCCCATATTGGATATAGGATGGTATAGGTGTTAACTCTGGTGCGACTTATGCTTTTCCCGCATAAACAAAGAGCAGCAAACACACACACGCACTTGTGTTTAAAAGTAATTCGCTCGTTTCCTAATAGCATATGAATTTTTTCATGCAAATTTTCAAATCTCCTCTCTGAACATAGTGAAGTGGTAAGTCGCTGGCATTTCCACCATTGGTCAACGCTAACCCAGCTTGGCTATCACCCGGTGCTTTAAGCTCCACCCACACTCCACTCCCTGAGTAATTTTTGTTACGGTAGTAAGCTCGATACATAAATACTCGTAACAAAGGTAATCCCCACCCCCTCTACTTCTCTAACTCTATTTTAATCATTTGCAATAACATATATCTTAAAACTAAATTAATATCCTTTTACTTATTAGATGATGATGGTAAGGATGACACAGAGGGAGAGGATTTCAAGAAGGCTCGTGAGCTACGTAGAGAAGAAGTCCGTCTATTGCCACTGCCCGCGAACCTGCCCACTGACACCGAGACTGAGGTTAGTGTTGGTTATTTGAAAATCGTATTCTCTATTCTATTTGTATAACTTCTTATATTGACTTATATATATTTTATATTTATTTTCTTCAATCAAATACCATCAATAATACTTACATACATTAAAACATAAAATAATGGTGTTGGTTTCATTCTATCAAATTTTTGCGCGAAATCAATTTAAATTAAAATCCCCATGACTAGGTTAAATCTCTGAATGACGGTAATGAGAACAATGAAAAAAAAGAAAATGTGGCAACGGTTTCAGATGATAAAGCTGCTGCAGTGTTGGCCACATCAAATCATAATCTCAAAGCAGAGACTGAGGTTGACAAGTGTTCTGAACAGTCATTTAATTCGGAAAAATCATTCAAATCTGCTGCTTCCATTGCCGGTGACATATTACCACTTTCCACGAATGCCTCGTTTTCTGCACCGCCACCCACCAAAGCTGACATAGAGAAATTGGAACAAATAACAGGGCGACAGTTCAGCGCTGAAATTGAGGCAATCAATGAAAAACTACATCGCCTCAATAGCGTTGTTAAAATGAGTAAAGATCTTGAAACAATAGCCAAAGAGAATTTGGTAAAGAGTGATATACTTAAGAAATTGACGATGAAAGAGAAGTGGTTGGCTGACAGCACAGTTGGTAACTCAAACCCACTAGCACCCAAGTCAACGTTTGGAAATCGTTTCGTGCCAAAGTCAGATGTCTTAAAAGAGCAGCAGAATAATGTCAAAGCTGCTGGGGAGAATCCTAATGTCGCTGACGTAAAACCTCAAATAGCGGAAGCTATTTCAGCTGGAAAGGTTTTAGATACATTAAAAGTCGAGTTGAAATCTGAAAATAATGAAGAGAAGACCAATAATGCAACACACACGCTGCTGAAAGCTACTTCACCTGAAGAAGTATTGGAGAGCTTGAAAGCAGAGATTAAATCTGCTTCCCTCAATCGAACGGGCAGCCTCAAAAGGCAACAATTGAGTCCAACTGCCAGTCCAAGTGCTAGTAAGAAACCCAGTGCAAGTAACAGTAGATCCAACAGTTTCAAACACAAGTCTTCAGCTACCCCAACTGAATCGAATAAAAATGGCGAAATTAGTCGAACAAACAGTCTTAAGCGTTCCGAAAAATTCATCTCGAAAGATGACGCAATCGCGAATGATAGCCGCATGCAAATCCAAAATATTTTGGGTATTGTGAAAAGCGTTGATAACAAAAGGGAACAAGATTCAAAAAACGACAAGCCTATTGGGGGCAATAAATCCAATACAGATATTGGAAAGCTACTTTACGATGCAGAGAGTAAGTTTTCTCCGAAGGTCGATAGACGTTTGATGCAGGAGAAGTTGAAAGAAATCGAGGCAAAGAGCTTTTCGGGAACGATGGACGCAATTAAATCACAAATGGTTGTGCCGACAAGTTCCCAAGCAAATCTATCCGTCGATCTATCCAAATATTTTCCAGATCAGAAACAACAAAAATCAAATGCCGCGGCAGTTAATAAAACCCAAAAAAATTTAAAAGATGTTGATTTAGCAAAATACTTTCCCAGCAGTCCGACACCGCAACGTCGCAGCGCAGTAGTCACTGTGGCAGATAAGTTGAAAAAGTCTCAAACAGAAAACGCCATTCCAACAGCAGCTGCGAACGCTTCTGGCAGTGGTGTAAACAAAAAGGGAAACGATAAAAATTCAACGGCGATAAAGAGCAGTAATCTTGGACCTAAGCGCCAAGCTTCAACTGGAAGTGCTACATTTAGTTTGCGCGACCATCAGTTGGATGGTGCTGTTGATTTGACGAAGAAAAATACGTCTGTCGTGGCCAGTAAATCCGATGTTCCTAAAAATGGTCAAACAGCAGTTAAGACCACAGCTGCAACTGCGACGGTGACGAAAAAGGGTAACGTTAAAATTATAAAAAAAGTTGTGCCTAAAAAGAAGGGGACTGCCTCGGCGAAGAAAGTGGACTGCACACAAGATAATAAGTCGATTGTTCCACGCGATGAATCCGACCGCGTGCTCGATGAAATTCTGCAGTCGACTGATAAAGAAATGCATTCGCCCAGCGCGGAGTACCTCAAGCTATTCAAGGAGGAAAAATCGCCCAGTGAAGACATTTCAGACAAAGTTGAACGAATATTCCAAGAAACTGGTATCGATTTAGGTATACCCCAACGTCCGCTCAACGATCGCAATAGAAGGCTATTAAAAACTAAATCACTAGGCGAGGGTGAATTCGAGCGACGCGGGAAGGAAATAAATTTGGAGCCTAGCGAACATAGAACCAAGGAAGATGGCGATCGGCCAACTGGCGTGCAAGGTTTGCTAGCACGTTTTGAATCAATGAGTTCTATAAAATCTTCGGAACAATCGTTCAAGCTGCGTCGCATGGAGTCTACAACTAGCAATTTGAACAAGTCGCGAGAGTCACTCATCTCTCATGATTCCATATTATCGCGTGAATCGGACTCCATGAGCGATTTGGAGAAAACTATGGAATACCTAAAGTCAGAATGGCGTAACGAGGCGACTAATTTTCTGCAGAAGAAACGAGATAATTTTTTCTCGATGAAGCGTGCCATTGAAGACGAAGAGGCGGCTGCTAAAGCGGATGCCATGACGAAAACAAAATACGATGATTTACCAGTACAATACCGTGAATCGAAAATCGCCAAATTTTTCGGCATCAAATCCAAATCTCCTGAAAAAGCAAAAGCGGCAATAAAGAAGAAATCACCTGAAAAGAAAAATCCAACAGTTGCTGCTGCGAAGAAGGAGCTAATAAATGGTGGGAAAGTGAAGAAGACGTCGTCTCCAGTTGAAGAATTGAATAGAACTGATGATAAGAAAACAAAACCAACGACTGCTTTGAAACCCAATTCAAAGGAAACTAAACGTAAGTCTCCATTGCCGTCCAAAAATCAAAATCCAACAAATGACAATGCAGCGAATGTCACAAAGAAAGCTTCCAATGCTGCGGTAGCTCCGAAGAAGTCGATATCTCCACCTAAAAATCAAATGGAAGACTTCGAAATAAGCTTATTAGTGGAGAAAGGTAGTATGGCAAGCTCGTTGGGCAAGTTGGAAGCGAAAAATATACCAAATATCATTGAACTCCAAGCAAGCGAGGAGTCAAAAAATAATGCACAAATTACGTCGGATGAGCCCAGTCGCATATCAGATTCTGCTACTGAACTAAATGCGCAATCCATACCTTTGTCTCGCCAAAACTCCAATAATTCAGATACTCCCACGTCAGAGACGCCGGTTTTGAAAAGGCGACCGCTGGTGGAAGATATACGAAATCTACCCAAGACAGGTTGTGATAAATCGCTAAGCAGCTCCCGCCGGAATTCACAAACAAGCTTACACTCGCGCCGTTGCTCAGATGCTTCGCTGCAAGAAAAGCTGGACATCGCTGCTGCGACATTAACGAAAAGCTCAACAATGGAATCAAATAGCAACGTGGATGAACTGTTCCAAAACATTGTTGAGCGCTTGGAAAACAAACCCAGCGAGCACGGCCGCAGTGCGGAAGAGGAATGTGACTCGTTGTGCACGTCGATTAGCAAAAGCCCCAGTTTGGCGCCGACCACAGTACGCGTGCGCGGCTCGTCAGAGGATGAAAGCATCGAAAAATTGTTCAGTCAGTTTTCCGATGAAATGCTGGTTAACGTGGAATTTGATTCGAACGATGAGTTAGTGGCGATTACTCCACGTCTCCCCCTGAAAAGAAAAACCGAAGATGATAAAGATTTTGTCGACAGGCTGGAATCATTGGAGAAAGATGAAGCAGTTCAAGACAACTTTGTGCCAATTGACTCGAGAGAAGTATGCTCTGAAAGCAATCAAGTTGAGGTAGAAACCAGTACTAATTCAAAATTCAGAGCGACGCAAGACTCACAAAAAAATATGAAAAATGCTGAGTACAAAGCAGCTCAGAAATCGTTAACAACCGCAGCTGCTGCCAGAGGTAAACCCTTAACCCTGGAAACCATACAGACAATGCTTTATATGGACCCACAAGAAACACCTTTCCCTATCCGACCACAGCGAAGGCAAAAGAGCACCTCATCCTCCAGCGAGGCATCGGCGCCTATTGCACCGCAACGCATCAAACACAAACTAGCGAAATTATGTCCCGACACTATGGCGCCATCTGTGCAGGATTTGATGCAAACAGCATTTACGAAGAGCTTAACTGCTGAACTAGCGGAAAATGGCGGTATTTCATTACATAAGTTTCCACGAAACATTTCCGAAGACGAGTTGGAAGATGTGAAAATTGAAAGTATAAAACCTGACATAAAAGAGCCAATCATAGGAGATGGGAAAAGTTCGAATATTGAACAATATGTTGAAGCTTCATCTGCTAACGATCGAAAGAGTACAGTTAGTAAAAAGATCGGAATTGAAAAAGAAAAAGAAACCAATTCCTCTAATGAATCTACTGCACGTGGTCCTGAAACCACAACTTCTGTAAAAACGTGCCCAACGACTTTCCGAAAGAGTTCCCAAACATCAATTCGCGAAATGAATATAGCCGCGAAAGAATCTGATACCACTCAAGACTTTGGCAATGGGATTATCGCCTTAACCAAAGAGACAGCAGAAGCAGAACGGCAGTTTTCACAAGCATCAATTAACAAAATCAATCCACTTTTGGAATCTCCAACAATGCAGCAGAAGACTTCCCAATCTATTACATCGGAGCCTTCCAATGCACCGCGAAGACTCTCACAATCATCTATAAAAGAAAAAGCTGTAACCCCCGTAAATACTCCATTATTACAACGAAAAGTGTCACGAACTTCAATAAATAATGAAGCTTCCATTACTAATGAATCAACTGTTCCACAGCAGAAACCTGTACACATTGCGAACGTTGCTCCCGTTGATTCTCCATTGATGCAATGGAGATTATCCCAAGCTTTAGCAAATACAGACGGTGCATCTATACCAATGGATCGTCAAAACACAGCAACAAACAATTCAACAAGTCAAGTGCTACAAAATGGGGTCAATTCTGAAACTCCAATAACAAATTTTCCGAAATCATCGTTGCACCCATCGAAAGAGAGTCTGAATGAGACGCTTAATAATCGACCATCCAGCAAGGGCTCCAGTAAAGAGCGTTCATTGGAATGGGATATGACGAAAATGCCAGCAAGTCCAATGCCACTACGCAAATTTGTGCATGCCGAACGTCGTGGATTCGAGGAGGCAAAAATTAAAGAGATCTCCCCAACAAGTTCAATAAAACTGCTCAATAATCTTTCCTCGAACAGCAGTGATTCGGAGGAACGGCGCATTATTGAAGACATCGAAATGGAAAGACGGCAAGCCTTGATAGAGCGCGACAAAAACTATCAAGAGCTAGAGAAAAAGGAAAAAGAAAAAGAAATGAAAAAAGTGCAAAACGAACGGAATCCAAACGAGTTTAAAGTCAACAATAGCAACAATTCCAAGCATACTACTCCACTTCCAACGCCGCGTAGCTCGCGTCGTGGCACTCAGGACAGCATAAATACACAAAGAGAGGTCACTCCGCCTAATTTCAAAAAGCTTGTTATTCCATCGGAAACAGAAGACGTGCCTTCACTGAGTTCTCGTTGCAGCTCATTTGCATTTATCGAGCTCATGAGTAACGGCGAGGCGAGGGAGGCCCCGCTGCCACAAAAGTTGAAAATTCCTGCGAAACCACAGCCTATAATTAAGCCGGATATTTCGGAACCCATAGCAGAAGTATTTAAAAACCGGCCGTGGCCTAAGCCGGAGCTTTCGCCAGAAATGGATACCAGCGAGTCACCTGATACAGTAATAGAAATGAAACGCGGCGATTCAGTACCGAAATCACCAGTTGCCGAAATATTTCGCAGTCGTAAATGGCCTGATGGCAAAACGATCTTTGATGCAGCAGACGAGCAACACTCAGACGACCAGGATTTTATGAGAGAATTGCCTAGGAACCGAAAGAAATTTAGAAAATTGCAATCGCATTCACCACAACCAAGCCGGCGCCAAAGGATACCTACCGAAGAACTTAACAACAGTAAATGCTCATCAAAGTCGATATCAGATTTACGCAAAGATTCACCACCCATCTCGTTCTACGACTCTGAACATTCTCTGAATCATGCTGTGCGTTCATCCCGTTCGAGCGCCGAGAACACATCTTTGCACACATCGAACAGTGGCACACCAAAGCGCCCAACGCGACACATACCAGCCAGCCAAACACCTGAGCAATCGATAGACGCCAGCACGCGCATGCTACTCGACCGCAGCAAGCGTTTGCACAATCGTAAGAGTGAGTTCATCAACGAGCGTGCGGCTGAGAGGAATCCGTACTTGCGTGATGTAGTCAAAGCAGAGCGCCTAGAGCGTGAAGCAATCGAGTCGGCTGAGGATGATCTGGACTGTTATCGGCCAAGTGGTTATAGAGCCAAGCAAATGGCACGCTTTCCAACATCGCGGTCACTTGGACGCGATCGCAGCGGATTGTCGAATAGTAACTATAGCTACACACCTTCCTATGGGATGGACTACGGATTGAGCAATCGGCGTTTATACGGCACTACATTCTTACCGACAAACACTTCTTCCCTGGACTATAATCCATATTTAGGCAGTGGCAATGCAGGATATGGCAGCTCCATTGGACGCAACATGCATTTCAACGATTACACAAGGCGTAGTCCTTCACATCATCGAGAGCGGGAACACTCCAAAGAATCGTGCGTTATAGCTTAAAAAATGTACAATAGTTTTGTTTTGTGAGACGTACTAAATTTCCATTTAACAGTAGATTTTGGAGATATTATTAACACCGTGCTTAATTAAATCTACAAAAAACTTGTGGAAAGCAGCAAACCTCAAAATCAAATAATTACACACACACAAATTCAACTACATATAAATAAAAAATTAAATTAAACAAAAATATATATTTTAATATACATATTTACGTTGTAATAAAAAATGAAACCAATGCCATATTAAATTATAGACAAAAGTACAAATTAAAATTTGGAATTAAAAATCAAAACCACAAACACACTAAAACATTAGCTAGAAATATATAAAAATATATAAATTTACAAACAAAACAAAAAAACATAAACAAACCAATCGTCCGTTTAAATGCCCGTACGTACGACCCCCCATCGACCAACCAACGAACCAAGCAACCAACAACCACTCAACCAAAAACGTCTGCCTAACTGCCCGCCAGCTTGTTTACGCTCGGTGTGCCTAAATAAAAAGAATAAAAATCCTAGAATGCTGTTAACAAAATTCTCTCTCTCTCACATTTCCACATTAAAGAGGAAAAGGAATTAAGAAATCTATAGAATCATAAAGTGATAAAGAGAGCATTGATTGAGCCATAACGCTCAACGGGTACGATCTTTGAAGGTAAAAAAGAACTAATACTTAACCCTCCAACGCAATTCTGCTTCGGCATCCAAGCGTGTAATTTACATACATACATATATTAACTGCCTTAAAGCTAGCTGCCTGTGTTCGCTCGCCACACGAGTGGTACACACGTGAATATCGCTCGTATTAACCCGAAATGATTTATAACGAAGCGTAAAACGTTTACTGACACCTGACCTTTAACCCGCTGCCAACGTTACCTTTCTTGCATTTTTTTGCTCAAGTTTGCTGCGTTTCATTCTAATAACTGTTTCTAATAAAAAATTCATATATTAAATTCAAGTGCTCGTATATTAAATTCAAGTGTTCCCAAAGTTTAGTACTCGTGCTCATCTGTGCTGTGCCTTTTTGGATCGTACCTCATTGCAGTTTGTTGTGTAAATAAATCTAAAAACACCATTTAAAGCGTTTGTTTTGCATGCCGAATTCATATGCTTAAAAAATCTCCATCCGTATTAAAATCGACTAAACTGCAAATAAAAGGACTGCAAAGAAATTTCCGACTGATTAATGCGCCACTACTCACTCGCTGTCTTGTTTTGTTATTACAAAATATCCTACGTCTTTATTAGTATCTTTGTTGAATTTTGGGGTTTCAATTAGCTTGAATAAAAAAATGTTAAATAACACATAATTAATATAACCTTCCGTTTTTCAGGTTCAAAGCGAGTCAGAGTCTTCTTCGCCCGAGGAGGTTGAACTTAATTCTGCCACGGAAATATCAACAGATTCGGAATTCGATCATGATGAAATAATCCGAGAAACTCCAAAGATCTTCATTGACGACACTCACCTAAGAAAGCCAACAAAAGTTCAAGTAAGTTTCCCAGCTCCAGGTTTAGCTTTTTATACCCGAGCGCGCTTTTGCACGATTATATTTTGTTCCCATAACGGTTGTTCAAAGGTTTCGAGAAAGACATATGTACATACATTAGCGCACACAAGGGGTGGGTTTTGGGGTTCAAACCCCCCCTAAAGCTAATAACCTCAAATACAAACTGTATCTTAAAGCTAAGAATCCAGCTCTCAAGGAAATTGTAAGAAATATTTATTATAATTTCTGTTGCCTGAAAAAGCGCTTTGCTTTTGCTGTAAATTTCTATGAGGAAATAAATATACGAGCATTTTTTTCTTGAGAGCTGCAAACTAATTTAAGAAATTTTGGTAGAAGAAAATTTCTTTTCCATTTCCCGTCCGTCTTTTTATATGAATTTTTCGTTTTTCTTGACAGTTCAGTTAATTTTTTCGGTATTCGAAATATTAAAAAAATTTAGCAATCGTGAAAACTCACCATCTCTATCGAAAACCAGAAACCAGAAATCGAAAAAATGAGCATAAAAGTGCAAAAATTTATGGAATCAATAAATTTATTTTTACTGACTCTTTTAAAATTTTTTAATAGGTACTTTTAAAAGTTGAGCGCATCTTGAGTTTATAGAACTTTTTATTAAACAAGTAGTTTTTAAGGAAAGAACACAACCGACTTCAAATTTAGGGGTACCGTTAATTTCTTCATGATCCAATCATCGGATATATAAACCAAATTACGGGACGACCCCTGAGGTACCATGTTTCCAATAAAAAAAGGATTATTGAAATCGGTTCACGTGGTCAAAAGTTATGTATTCCGGCGTATTGATAACCTCCTTTTTTTTGAAGTCGGTTAAAAGTGTTTGAGTTCTGTTAATCTTATGTAAATAAAGTGCAGTTTATGGATTTTAAAACGTTTATTTATTTATTACATACTGTACATAAAACTTGCATGAATGTATTTTAAAGAGCGTATTATCTGAAGCAAATTTTCAGTATTTTCCGGTGATATATATTCAGAAATATAAAACTCCCCCTAAAATATATTCCTGGGTGCGCCCCTGTGTACATATATGCAGAAAAACGCTTATAGTGAAAAGATAAATCAATTTAGTGTATTACTTGTTAGAACATACATACCTCAAAACATATCTACATTACAGGTCAAATCTACCGTTATTGCTTCGACCGCCGGTCAACGACATCACGTACCATCCACCAATAACACACACAACTTAAGAGGAAGTTATCTACAGAAGTATCAAGTAAGCCCACCACAGCCGCAATTTAAACCTCTTGTTCAGGTCGACCCCACACTCTTAACGAAAAGCCGCGCGCCTCTTCAAAATCCACGGCCAGGCGACTACTTGCTCAATAAAACTGCCAGTACCGAAGGCATAGCTTCAAAGAAAAGCTTAGAACTAAAGAAGCGTTACTTACTCGGTGAACAGGGAAATGGCAACAAAATTCAAAAATCCGGTTCTACCTCTGTGCTTGACTCACGCATACGCAGCTTCCAATCAAATATATCTGAGTGTCAAAAGCTGTTGAATCCTGGCAGTGGTATCTCACCAACCATGAAAACGTTTTTGGATCGCACGAAATTGGGTGAAAATGCAAACAACGATTTGATGCGCTCAGCCACAACTAATATTTTAAACGATTTGAAAGTTGAGATTACTATTCAGAAAGCTTCATCCACTGCCTCGACGGACAATGAGAAGGAAAACGTTTTTGTGAATAGCAAAAATGAGCTCAACAAAGGCATGGAGTATTCGGAATCTGTCAGTGCAGCTTTGCTTGAGACTGTGAACAAAAAATCGCCTTCAACACCATCCAGCAATCACACAATTATGGGCACAATAGATCTCGTTTCGCCAGAAAAGGAAAGATCGTCGTCAATCATAGATTTAACCAAAGTAGAAATGCCAGTAAAAAGGCGGGACAATGATGGACTGAAAATAAATTCTGCTGAAAACAATGATGTACTGCTCACTGCCGATAGTAATAAGATTATAGATCTGACCTGCGAGTCACCAGTGAAAAGCGACAATACCGTTATAGAGGAAGTGAGGCCAGATGTTTCCAAGGATGTAAAGGAGAGTATACCTGACATACTAGGTCATATTGGTCAGGAAGTGAAGCCAGGGCACAAGCCAGCGGCAAGATGCCAGACCGAAGACCAGCAACATCTCTTGAGCCATTCTTGCGACGAGGAGAAAATGGATTCGCCAGAGAAATTGGAGGAAGAGAATGAAACGTTGCAAATTCAAGTGCCGAATATACCGTGGAGAACGCGTAAGACAGACACTATGTCGTCCACAACAGGTTCAAGTTGCACTTCAAACTCGTCAAGTATTGAAGATATACAACACTATATACTAGAGTCAACAACGAGTCCGGATACGCAAACCGGTGCCATGGCGATTGGTCATCAAGTGCCGCGCGTCGAAATACATGATACATCAGGTACACTCATGCAAATCGATAGTTTGATGATAATTGATGGCAAGTATATTGGCGATCCGGATGATCTGAAGTACTTGGAAATTCCTGAAGGGGTGGTCGTGCCGGCGGCACCTACCGTCAAAACGACAGAGATCGAAGAAGATAATGAAGCTGATATGGAACCAGTTACGGCAACACCGGAGCCAATCGAATGTACAGTGATCGAAAAAAACCAGGCTGCAGAAGACGAAAGAACCGAGGAGATGGCGGCAGAGGAAAAAGTGCCGCCATTACCTGAAATAGGTCCACCATTACCAGAGCGAGGGCCACCAAACATGAAAATAGTAAACCTCAAATTTGATACCAAAAATGAAAATAAAGTAGAGAGCCTTAAAAATTTGCCACTAATTGTCGAACATAGCGTGGAGCATACAAAAGCCGTTAAACCAGTCACATTAAACTTGAATAGCTCACTAAAGTCACCAAATACTCCCACAACACCAACCGCCATAACAACGAGCGCTGTTATGGCGCGCACACCGACATCACCACTAATGGAAGTGGACAGTGATATAACACCCACTGGCGATCTATTGTCACGTGGTTCCGATTCAGAAACCGAACTCACTGGCACAGGTCAGGTGATGACCGAAACAGAGCTATCCGATTGGACGGCAGACGATTGTATATCTGAGAATTTCGTTGATATGGAATTCGTGCTGAATTCAAACAAGGGCACCATTAAACGCAATAAAAAAGAGAAGAAACGGCTGTCCGCTGCATCGAAATTGCCCAGCACAATTGAAATGCTGGGGGAAGTAACCAAAACAGCGCCAGTTGCTGAATTCGAGGGCATACTGAAATCGATTGATATTGACGATATTGAATTCATGGATACCGGGTCGGAGGGCTCATGCGCGGAGGCGTACTCTGCCACAAATACGGCATTATTGCGCAATCGTGGCTACATAGAATTTATCGATCCGCCTACGCCCAAGCAAACACCTTCGCACAAAGCTGCACTACATACTATAGCAGATAGTACACACAAATCGGTTGCGGCAAAACGTGATGAAAAGCTTGGCATAGATTATATCGAACAGGGAGCGTACATCTTGCAAAGTGGCGATCACGAACATGATCTACTTAAGACTCCCGTAAACGAGGACGCACACTTCGTCGCTTCGTTAGCGGAGAAATCACAAGCTACTGGACCTCCCTCGCTCATGACTCAATCGCTCACTGATTCAAGCACATTGAACGATTTGGAAGACGATAGCCTATTCACAACAACACAAAATTCACAAATCCAGCCTTCGGCAGCCACCACAACTAAAACTACAACAGAGGAGAGTGAAGCTCTGACCGTTGTCACTAGTCCGTTAGATTCCTCATCACCAAAGGTGCCCGATCTGCATAACAGTTCTTTCATTACAGGCAAAGCCGCTGAGCTAACAACTGGTTCTACGCCTAGCAGCTCCGAAAAAAATCCGAAAACTTCGCAGTCAACATGCACCACGACCAGTACTTCGACTAGCTCATCGAGTAAAGCCACTTCCCCACGTTGCTTGTCACAAGAAATTCCTGCAGCATCACTATTGTTGGATGCCAATACGTCAACGGCAGTGTCAACATCATCAGCATTTGCGCCGAAGGCGGCGCCGCGCAAACTCTCAAATGAGCTTTCGTACGAGGAGTGTGTGCGGGCGTTACAGCAGAAGATTACGCAAATCAGTACTGCTCGTGATTCAGATGTACGTAAACAAAGACGAAAGAGTTCCAAGGGCGAAATGCCCGTCAGCAATGTACAAACTGTGATAGAACCAACACCATCAATGCTGCAACTCACCGATTCGGAAGTCTCAGATGTAAATGTAGCTCTAACTACGGCTGCCAATCCTTCCGCAGCCGCGACTCTAATCCACAAGGTACCTGAAATTCCGACATTGACCCGCAAACTAGAAGAGATCACTAAGGAGCGCACCAAGCAGAAGGACCTGATACATGACCTCGTCATGGACAAATTGCAATCGAAGAAGCAGTTGAATGCCGAAAAGCGTTTGCACCGCAGTCGTCAGCGCACGATGCTCACGAGTGGATACGCAAGCGGTTCTAGTCTAAGTCCTACTCCAAAAATTGCAGCGGCAACAACAACCAGTGACACTAATTGCACCAGCCGTGCACACTATCATGAATCCACGGCAGCAATGCCATCAACAACTGTAGTAAACACTGCGGATGAGCTTACTGCTAGCGTGAATTTCCGAGAAAACATCCCTCTACCGAAGTCATCGACATATGTCTCTGCCTACGGGATGGCAGGCGATTCCCCGACGCGCAATATTGCCTACCAGCAACGACCTTTCAGCGAGCATTTGAATGCCGAACAATTGGACGCCTTCGAAAGGTATAAACTGACCAAAACTCCTTCATTTTCACATGTGCTGCCCTCCCAGCCGAGCAAGTCAGCGTTAAAAGATGAAAATATATGTAAATATGCAACGCCACAAGCCCCTGCGCGTAATAATCGCATTCAAAAGCCTCTAATAACCGCACAAAGCGTTGATAGCTCTTTTTCAGTATCAACAGAAAATCTACGCACTGAAGCTCGTGCACGTGCGCGTCTCAAATCGAACACTGAGCTCGGTCTAAGTCCGGAGGAGAAAATGCAGCTACTGCGTCAGCGACTGCAACTCGATCATTTTGATGCGAAAAATAACTTGGCCACTTCATTTCAGTCTCAGGTGCCGATTAAATTACCAAAAGATACAGAGGAACCTGTACACGACCGCCGACTGAGCGCATCGAAGAGTGTCAATGATTTAGTGTACATGGCGAGCAAACAGCCAGAATCGTCTGGCGATGTAAATTCTAACACTAAGTCAGTCGCGGGGGTCACTGCCGATTTTACCTCAGATCCCAATTTGTTGCTCTCCTCAACATCCGTACAATCCAGCAGTGGTAGCGTAAGCGCCAGCACTAAAGCGCCAAAATGCAAATCTAGTCGTAGGCAAAAAGATCCAGAACGCCGCAAAAGTCTAATCCAATCACTGTCCAGCTTCTTCCATAAAGAGAAGAAGGACACTGGTGGAGGCAGCGCAACTAGCGTACTTGGCTCTGCACAGCCAGAGCGACCGGGATCTAGTGGCAACAATGGTACCACAGCTTCGGGTGGCGTTGAAACGGGAGTATTTAGCCGTTTCCGTATATCGCCGAGAACAAAGGAGAAATCCAAGGTTAGTACACAGCTTAACATTTGCCCCTCTGCCCTTGTAAAATTTTTTAATAACTGCCTAAATGTTCTCATATACAATGTATGCAATGTGCCGGATTTGGTTGGCATGTTTGGTGGTGGGCTAAAATGTTTATGCGTGCGTGTATGTAAAGCTAATTAAGCACAATACCGAATTTCCACTTGGCATTGAAATGACAAAAAATTTGCCATTTTCCACATGGTGGAAACAAACATAATGACTATTTTTATGACACTGGTATTTTTTCAATGCCCAACATTTTCATTCAAATTTTTGTTATTTAATGCCTGGTGGAAATTCAGCATAAGTGTTGATATTAAACCATTGAGGCTTTAAGTTAAGCAATCTGAATTCGAGAGGCTTAAAGCAAAGGCATAAGTACTAGGAATAAAGCTTACTAA